AACCGGGTAACAATTCTTGTTTAATAGCTCAAATGTGGGGGTGTCCCCGTTGTGCCGATGGTAAGGCATACTAACCAGCAGCACCAGTTGGTACCACGTGCGATCCGGATGATTTAGTGCCTACCTACGCCATGACGACGATTGTATTCCCTGGTGGGCTTTCAAAAGCGAACGTACGGTGCTGAGACGAAATGACGGCTGTCAACTTGAAGTACTGTGTGGCAGCGGTATACGGCCAATGAGATCCAATCCAAATTTGAGTTCAATTTACTCATAATCGCAAAAAGTGCTTGCTTCATGTCTGCGGAAAACCTCAAAAGTCTGCCGGAAAATGAGAAAAATTGACGAAAATTTTACTCAGTCTAGGAGTAGTACTAATACACTGAGTGAATCGAATTTTTACTTTTCTCATACTCGGGATTTTTTTCCTGGGCAAACATAAGGCAAATCTATCGTTGAGTTCCTGCACTTTTTGTGATTTAGGAGTAAACTAAATTCAATTTTGGCTCGTTCTCATTGGCCGTGTACTGCATAGTGAAACGCAAGTGACATTCTCGCGTTTCTAGCGGCTCAACTAACGCGAACAACAATGAATTGAAATGCACTCGAAACAAAAGGGAGAAATTTTTCCTCATTCCCAGAAACCCAACCGCAGCAACAATATACCAATAACCGCAATAAGAGGAAGCAGAACTCATAGATCTCTAGCTACGGGTACATGTTCAAGGGTTTATCGTTGGGTGTGTGTGTGTTTGTGCGAGCGCCCCCTGCGAACGAAAGCTATGAAGGTATTAATTATTTAAAATTTTGCGTCGGTGGAGCAACGGCTGCTATAGATAAAGTCGTTTGTGGTGAATTTTTAAATATTAATCTTCCGCCCATTTGTCCAGGCAGTCTAGTCGTGCGTTGCGGACATAATGGGAAGAAAGGTTTCGAATTAATTTGAGGTTATGTTTTCATTTGTTTGGCTACTTAGCTATGATGTGGTACGCATTTAGTTAGATAAACTCATTATCTTTTCATTACTTTAGCCAAATGGAGCTTTACGACTCATTGCCCATCGAATAATTCATGAGTCATATTAATTAGCTAACTGGCAGTTGGACATTATAATCCTTAGGTAAGGGACTTTGTTATGGACTATGGTAACTTGTTTGGCATTTGTTTGTCAAATTTGAGAAAATGTGAATGATTTTAATTTTCATAAATTCCAGTAAAATATTAGGGGGAAAAGAGCATTTTTGTCTTATTTGTGATGAAACCGTACATTTGGTCGAATGCTTTTGACGAATACTGAGCTTTGAGTTAAGAATAAAACTTCGTTTGGCATTTTGATGGTACCTTGTTACCTACCCCCCAAAAAAACACACTTCAGACTCGAAAATTTGTGGCAACTTGATTGCGACCGGAATAACTCGCATAGGAGTTGCTTCCACCGTTTTGCGACAAGTGTATATGTGTTACATATACAGGCTGTTCGGTTCCTTAGTGCAAATAAGTTAAGGGGCGATAGAAGTTCATATTTGAAGTAAAAAGTTGTTCTACGCATATGATCAAATCTCAAAGATCACTGAGTTATTGAACTTTTTTCTGTTGTGGTCTATGCTTGCCATAAATTGGCTCTAACTCGAAAACTATGCCATTTAGCAGAACACTCTTGCCTCCATTGGACACCTTGGTAAATGGGTAAATTACTACTTAATAGTGTAATTTCTACTTTAAGTAAGCTGCATTTAGACACATTTGAGGGATAAACGAGTCTACAACTTGTGTTTTCCGATGGGTTTTCCCTTATTATTTAATAAAAAATCGTAATAAAGTGTATTGTTTTGTCTAACCAAAAGATGCCTCTCAATGCGCTCCACAACTCTCTCTTTGACACCAATTTTCTTTCTTGTTTAGTTTTGTCGCAATTTCGTACTAAGCACACCATGTTGGGTCGTTAATTAACGGTTGTGTAAAACACGAATTCAACCCCACCGTGCGTTGCGGTTGACGTCTATTTGCAGCGCGCATACACGGTAACCGAAAAATACCCAATAATGACTACAAAGTAAGCATTTTCGAGGAAAACTGGGACTACCCATTAAATGAGTAAAATTTTACCCATTTATGAGTAATTACAACTACGAAAATAAGTAGTAAGTATTCATTTTTGAGTAACAAATACTCATAAATGGGTCATTTTTTTCTCATTTAATGGGTAGTCCCAGTCTCCCTTGAAAACAGGGTTGCTTTCACTCACTTGCTATAAAAAAAATATTTTTCGGAATTATGCAATCATTAGATGTTATAATGATATGTTGTACTTGTAAGTAACAAGAAGAGGGTGTGAAGTATGTGTTTGACTGATAAAACCTGTCAATTCCGCTTTCAGAGCGTCACAATCAGCGATCTTATGATTCGTGAGCGTTCACTCAGAGTGAGCGCTCACGAGTCGTAAAATCGCTGATTGTGACGCACTGAAAGCAATATTGACAGATTTTATGTGTCAACCATATACTTCATGACCTCTTCTTGTAACTTACAAGCACTAATTAGCATTATACTATTTCCTGATTTCATAATTCCGAAAAACACTTTTTTATAGCAAGTGAGTGGAAGTAACCCTGCTTGAAAATGCTTACTTTGTAGTCAATATCGGGTCTTTTATAGTCATTATTGGGTATTTTGCGGTTACTGTGTAGCACACTTGATCACCACGCGGAGTGACGGTATGAAAAGTGTGACAAGAAAAACAATGCTGCGGACGGTTCAATTGAACGGTTGACAGTATAAGCAACAATCAATACGAAACTAACGATTTTAAATTGGCTCACCACTTTAGTAGCCTATTGGTCCCAAGCAAACGATTAACGTACCCTATTCTAGTCGAAATTCTATTACTACACTATGTTTGTTTTGGTTCGCTATGAAAGTTTGACAGATAACATCAGGGGTGTGTGGATTCATGCAGAACATGCAGGGGTGAGTGAAATAGCTTGGGACTGCTTGGGACCGTTGTTCTGGTACTGAGTGAGCCAAAAATAATAATGATTTTCTTCGGGACCCAGTGGTCTTAGAGTTACCTCTATGGTATAAGCCTTTTTAATAGAAACTAAGCGATCGATTCAACCTCTGGTGGTGAATAAGAGAACGTTAAAATGAGTGTTGTACGCAGAAAATTTTGCCGTGCGACATAGGAAGCGGAACACTGTTTCACTTTTCCTGTTAAATTGATTCATCTGAGATGCTCAAAAACTTGATCAACAGTGGAAACTTAGAATAATGCCTTTGTGGTTATGATCTTCCGGATTTCTTGTGTGGGAATAGTTGAGATACAAATCAGTTCAAATCCGTGGACAATCGTAAAAGAAGACAATTACCGATGGAAATTGACAAGATGTTAAAATGAAATCGCTATAATTTGCGTTGTAAAAACCCGTATTCTGATGTAAACACACTGTTTGTTTGACGTTTCCTCTCGAACTAGCCTGGCACCCTCTACATTGGTGGTGCAGTGAAAAAGCCCTTTGAAATATGCATTTTGAACAACGTTCAAAAAACGACTGATTTAAAACAAATTTTGGTATAAACCATAATTAGGGTGACCAGTGCATGTTCATTTTGAATTTAATGGTTTTTCCCGGTTTTCCCAGATATATCTAAAAAAATTCCCAGTTGTTGATATTCAGCAAAAAAAAAAGAAAATGATTGCAGTTCACATTATGTTCAATATAGGGTAAATGACAGCTTCCCAACCTGATGACCGTTTTCGGCAGCCAAAATTTAAAGGTTGATTTCGCTATATTTTCTTAACCAAAACGCATCGCTGAATGTATTTGTACGATTTATTATTCGTTCAGAATCAATCTGATTACATTTTTACGGCTGCCCGAAAAAAAAATAACAACAAAAATACATTAAAAAACAATGTAACAATAAGACGAAAATTATTGTCTTTAAAATGATTTATATTGTTACGTCTACAATAAATTTACCTTGATTTATGTTGTACAAAACAGTAAATTTCATGATGAATGGAAAATTTACAATAAAAAAGGGGGGTTGTTAAGTATCTGAACAATGAAATTTTCGTGATTTCCCCATATATATTTTATTCAATAACATTATATATTATTGTTATTTTACTGTTGCTTGGCGAATTTATTGATTAAAAAAAATAACAGTGTACTTTAGAGTGTCTGTGTTGGCTTGACAGATCTACTTTATCGACTTTAAAAATAAATCGAAAAATTAAAACATCGCCCCGGGAAGGGAAGGGGATGGTACGTCTGTTACGGGTGAGTCCTTTTTTTTACTGGTTATGGATTAAGATTCGATCCGGAACTTGTGAGAAATGGAGGCCAGCTCCCCTGCGCTCGATCTCCCTAGGTCACGTCTCCTTGGTGGTTGAGCGTCGTTGATAAGTTAATGCATTCTACTGGAGAGAATCGCCCATGAAATATGCTTCCACCTGAGAGTTACTTCCTGACATCTTCAAGTGGTGGATTTTTTTATTATTATATTGTATGATTATTGACTGCACGGAAAAGGTCTGCATTAAGCGGGATTTAGATGAGGCAGGTGAGTTGAATTCAACTCAAACCGATCTGGTCGTAGGCGTTCAATTGACTTGACAACGAATAGAGCAAGTCCGATATCGGTCAGATTTCTGGACGTTCATTTCGCAGTTCAAGTGAGTTGAACGCTGAAGTGAACCATCTTAACCCAGCTTTAGAGAGGGTCTAGGATAAGAGATGAGCGGACGCAGATTGGCTGGTTTTGAGCCAAACGAACTGTCAAAGCCAGAGCCATACGAGCAGCGCCTATCTTGATTACATTGGCAGTGTTGCTGTCCCTCTCATAGTCTGCATGCTTCAATCAGATTTATTTTTATTGTTCGTGAAGTAACCCACAATGAAAACACACCAATATTTAATGTGACAACAATTTTTATTGTAATAGAGTTGTTCATTATTGTTCATGTTAATGGATCATGGCAGATGCTGAAATGTCTGATGGGGATCTTCGATCTATTGGGACTTCTGAGCGTGTTCCTCGTTCACGGCAAAATACTTCTTCAGGATCAATGGCGAGCTGGCCTGCAGTGGGACGAAAAGTTGCCGGAAGCAATATTCGACCGATGGATCAGGTGGACTGGACTGTTTCGTAAGATTGGTGACTTACGAATCCCTCGCTGTTACTTCAAGAAAGCGACCACGCAAACATACGATCAACTTCAACTTCACATCTTCGTTGATGCAAGCGAAGCTGCATTCTCCGCTGTAGCTTACTTTAGAGTGGTCAACGCTGAAGGTAAAGCCGAATGCACAATAGTTGCTGCCAAGACGAAGGTCACACCGCTCAAGCCACTCTCAATTCCACGCTTGGAACTAAAAGCAGCAGTCCTGGGAAGTCGCTTGATGTCTTTTGTACAGGAGGGTCACAACGTCGAAGTGAAGCGACGATTTCTGTGGAGTGATTCCGCGACTGTATTGGCTTGGCTGCGAGCTGACCACCGCCGCTACAAACAATACGTGGCGTGTCGGATTGGAGAGCTACTATCAACAACGGACATAGCAGAATGGCGATGGGTCCCCAGCAAACTTAACCCTGCGGATGCGGCGACAAAATGGGGAAAGAACCCGTGTCCTGAAGTCACTGACGTGTGGTTCAGAGGCCCGGAATACCTTCGTCTCCCTGAGAACGAATGGCCGAAGCAAACCAAGGAACTAGTGCAACCCAAAGAGGAACTACGGCCCTGTTTTGTGATACAAGGTTCAACAATTCCAGCTACCATAGTAGATTTCTGTCGATTTTCGAGGTGGAGCCGGCTATTAGGAACAGTTGCGTACGTGCACCGTTTTGTGGACAATTGCAGGCGTAGAAGACGAGGAGAAGAAACACAATCATCGTATCTGAGCCAGGATAAGCTGAAGAAAGCGAAGAACACATTGATGCAAATGGTGCAGTGGGAGGAGTATCCTGAGGAGATGAACTTGATACTGGGAAGAAATATGGAGCTACACAAAACGAGCGTCTTGTACCAGTTGACGCCAACAGTGGATCAATACAGAGTTCTACGGGTCGGTGGAAGAACTGGAGCTGCGCCACATACTACGTTTGATGCCAAGTTTCCAGTAATTCTCCCGAGGAAACATCCAGTAACCAGTTTGATTGTGGATGATTTTCACCGAGCTTTTCGCCACAGGAACTCCGAAACAGTGGTGAATGAAGTTCGTCAGTTCTACTATATCTCTCGGCTGAGGACGGTAGTGAAGCAATTAGCGGCTGCTTGTCAATGGTGCAAGTTGGCGAAGGCAACACCGAAGGTACCGCAAATGGCACCACTCCCTATGGCTCGCCTGTCGTCCTTTACCCGACCGTTCACGTACGTTGGAATTGATCTATTCGGCCCGCTGTCTGTGAAAGTAGGAAGGACTACTGCAAAACGCTGCATCTGCTTGTTCACCTGCTTGACAACTCGTGCTGTCCATGTGGAGGTTGCATACAGCCTTTCCACACCGTCCTGCGTGAAGTGCATTCGCCGTTTCGTTTGCCGCCGTGGAACGCCAGCGAAGATTTATACAGATAACGGCACCAATTTCCAGGGTGCAGAGAATCTGTTACGAAAGCAGATTAAGGAAATTCACGACGGACTGGCAGCAACTTTCACAAACACAGATACCAAATGGATCTTCATACCACCAGGAGCACCTCACATGGGCGGTGCTTGGGAAAGAATGGTGCGATCGATAAAGACGGCCATGCAGATCGCTTACAACAACGATCGAAAATTGGACGACGAAGGATTGGAAACGCTGGTCGTTGAAGCCGAGGGTATCGTTAACAGTCGACCGCTCACGTACCTGCCACTGGATGCTGAAGAAGGTGAAGCCACCGAACCACTTCCTGATGGGATGCTCAAGAGGCGTACGCCAACCTACTGTAGCCTTTAGTGATCCAGCTTCTGCAGTGAGAAACTCCTGGAACCAGATTCAACACCAATTGGACGTTTTTTGGAAACGGTGGGTACGGGAATACCTCCCAATGCTGACGAGGCGGATGAAATGGTTCGGCGATGTCAAACCCGTAGCTGAAGGAAACCTGGTCCTGATTGTCGACGACCAGGGCTCTACAATTTCGAAGCTCTAAAATGAACTCGAGTTTTGTTTCTCTCATACATACGTGTTCGACGCTTCATTTCTATAACGCCTAGCTAGACTATCAGCAAGAAACGAAAATAAAAAAGAAGGACGCTTGGAAGGAAAGGCTGGCTGTGGAACTTCTCGTCGTTGCTTTGCTCATCGCTTTCAATGTAAATAACGTCGATTTTCTAGTTAAACGAACTTCATTATGGCTTTCAATCCCCTTTCACGAACACTTTATCACCGCTCTTTCAATTTGTTTAAAATGCGTTATGTCCCGTTTTCGATCATTTTTTTAGATAAATATATGGATGGAAGATAAATTAGAAATATGACGTGTAATCTTCAAGTGTTTTGACGTGAGAAATGCTTTAAATGTTTTATTTCATTTTCCGTCATATACGTCATGAAACCTCTGTTGATGTGTTTCATGAAAGAGAAAACTATCAAAGTCGAGCGCTCTTTAGCTCATCCGTTTCACCGAAGCTTGAAAGGAAGACCAATGGAGTGACGGGAGAAAGAGAGACAAGCGATTGAACATTTGTTTGTGCACGCCGACTGAGGTTCTAGAATGCTGCGAAGCTGTTCGACTTTAACAGAAAAAGAAAGCCAGCAGTCTCTTCGTCGCATCGATTTGGTCGATTGAAGCTGATATTGTGACGCCCTGTCGACGACACCCGCAGGAACGGTTGGATTCGTGGACGCGTTAAGGAGGTCGTGACAGCGAAGGATGAAAGAGTTTGGCAAGCTGTTGTACTAAATGCGAGGGGGATATTACGTAGGCCAGTATCCAAGTTGGCTGTATTGGAGGTTGAGTCAGGGGGTAAAACTGGGACCGGTGGCCAGTGTTACGGGGGGGGGGAGAGGATGTTGCCACTGGGTGCACTGCTTCAGGTTGGCGTTCCGCGTTGTCGCCCCAGCTGAACTCCGATGACGGCTGTCAACGGTCAGCTCAACGTATGACAGGTGACAGTAAGGAAAGAAGGGGACAAACTACTTCCGACGAGGAACAACAGAACGGATAGCGAAGCAACAAGCGAAATAGAGGCTACTCCTGCAAACATTTGTTATTCTAAAATTTATTAAACCCTAAACGATTCAATTTGTTACTAGTAGTGAAGTTTGCCTAATTAAAAGCACATACAGAAACAGTAAGTTGTACACTTAAAACCTATTTACACGCAATTGTAATACCCTAAAATTTGTTACACACAAGTAACACACATAGATTTCAAGCATATCATTTGCACACGTAGAACACCGTAAGTGTAAGTAAACTAACCTATGATTTGTTAATCTATTCCTAATACACTGAAATGAAAGCTGCACTAAATCGAAAAGATTTGTTTATGTACTGCTCAAAACCCGGTGTCCGAAACGTATAATTTTTCATTCTGCCTGCCGTAACATGCAACATAGAAAAAATTTGCCCCTCTTTAACAAGATTAATTTACATGTTTTAACATTGAAAAGATGGAATTTCACAGCACCTTTTTTGTTGTTTATAGTCCGACGCCTCTTAAGGCTTATGACTAATTTAGTACTAAATTCTAACGAGCATTTCATTAGCATTAAGCAGTTCTCATAAACACTGGATGTAATTAAATCTTACATTGGCATTATATGATGACCACAATGGGCAACAAATAATGCTTCGGAAATGTGCCTGGAAAGGGAAAAACTACAAGGGACAGCTCTATGGGATTGTACGCAACGGCAAAGTAGGACTACGTGGTCTTATATAAGTTCTCTTTGTTTATACTCCTTACTATGACTATGATTGCCCTGAAAAGAATCTTTTGATATGAATTTTAGTTGGGGCATGTTCAGAAATTTAACTCTTTTGAAAAACCTTGGTTAGCACAGACTTAAATCCTTTGGAAGACGATGATGACGTGTAGGAAACTAGATCAGCAAATCGGACTGGACAATCTCACATTCTTCGGTTCAATGATTGGACACTCGCAAAAGTCTCGGCCCGTCTGCTGCTGGACAGGGGTTGAACTTGTGTCTGCGACAGGTTGAAAGGCCGCTTAGCCTTTAGCAGAAAGACGCTAAACACGAATTTTTTGGGGAAGGAGCATATGCATGTACGTAATTGGTGGATTTGTTAGTTATTTCGACGCTTTTAGATAATGAAATTTATCACTTTTCAATAGTTTTTTGATGAAAATCAACAGCTGGAAGCTTTGCCATCGATGCGTAGAAATATTTCTCATCGATTTGTGATAAAATTATTGAAATTGGTCCAGGGGCAGCTGAGTTATTAACGTTCAAAATCTTTCATAATTTCGTTACATTTTCCATAATCGGATTAGACTTAAAATCCATCCGCTACTGATAGAGTTATAAGTGGTCAAAACCTGACCACTTTTCGCAACGCGGTCGATTTTGCCGAAAGACACAATCCTAAATCAATTATCTTTTTTATAATGCCTCTAAGTAGCATTATAATATCAACAAATTTTTTGTCTCTATAGTGACATAAAGCGTTTAATTTACTGCACAGCAATAATTTCATCTGTAAAACATACAGCAATACCACATTAATTTTACGTGAAAGTATTATGTTTTTCAAAAACCTCCTCCAGTTTGTAGTTGAAAATGACTAAATATTTTTATCTGTGTATAAATCATGACCGTTCTGTATTTGTAATAAAGAAATCTGTTATATTTGTAAAATCTTTCCACCGTCTAAATAATCTGATCATTCACAGGCAATTGAGTCACAAATTACACAGGCAGATTGGCAAGACCGATACAGCTGTGGTGCTTTCAAAACAGAAGCATCCCGAACAAATGCACTCATTGTGCCAAGACTGCCACGATCAAGAGTGGTTGGAAAAACCGCTACCTCGCACAGTTAATTGCAATTGCACAGTTCTTTTTATTAGCCCCCGGGATGCGCCACGTGAGCTTGAATCTAAAACAAAAACACAAACAAACCCGTAGTTCACACAAACTGCACTCCTCGTGACGTAATTCATTCGCACACTCCCTGCAAGCGCCACCGCCGACCGGTTGCAACCAATTGAAAACTAATTAGTCGCAAAACTGCCTCCTTTTTTTGTGACCCAGAAGCAATCGACGCTCGCTGAGGTTGCATTGCATATCAGCCAACAGCCAACGCACGAGGGTACTGTATTATTACAGTTATTTATTTTTTTTTCGGATGGCGCAGATAATTGCCGGTACCTTATACCTTAATCCAGCAATGGTGGATTCGATTCGTTATCCAATGGTGTGACTGTTGCCGCCACCATATCGTCCCTCGTCGGTCCACTGGAGCAATTGATTTGCAGCAAATTAGATTATGTAAATTGTGCATACACTCTGACTCTCTTTCTCCCTCGTTCAATGGTAACTGGAATGCGTACCAGACACCTGCCCGGGCAATGGAAGAATTCCCGGAAAGCACGTATTAGTTCCAGTCCAGAAAGCTGACAGTGACTCACTTGCATCTGCTTTTATCCAAAACGTGTAATAGCCTTTGATGGAGCTGTCACTTCAAAAACGACACTAATTTTCCTGATTCTGAGCTGTATGCTCGTTTCCCCTAAATTTGATCAGTAAAATGGGATGGCACAACTGACGGGACAATAAAAAAAAAACTAGAGCACATCAAAGATCTGCCACCGGTGTTCCCGGCGGGGTGGTACCATCGATGTAGACTCTCGCTAGTGATGTTCTGCTCTTCAATGGGAATGGGAGGGGGGGAGACATGAATAAAAAAAAAAACGAGGGCGACGCAAAAGTGCCATCAAAATTGAAAAGCGAGAGCTAATTGGAAAATAATTGGCTTTCAAACGGGCTCTTCCTGCGCACCATACCTGTCGGTGAAGATGGCGGCGACGGCGACGACGCACGACGCTGCTCAGAGTGTGTTCAGGTTCATTAAAAATGAAACACAATTTATGGAGTGAGTCCGTCCATTTGGTGTGCCGACTGTCTCATAAACAAATATGCAGTGGAATTTTCTTCATTATTATTTCTAACCATCACACTGCGAAAACATCTCCCAGGCCCAAATTGTGGCAAATTGAAGTGACCTTCATCGCAGTTGCGTCGATGGTGTCGGTATCATTCCCCTCCCGGCAAAGAACCGTAAATTGATGTCACAAACAATCACCGACTAGTTACTTCCATGTCAGCAAATGCGTACATACGTACGATTCTCGGTCCCCTTCTGCCCTGATCCAGGCTGGGAGGGGGGGGGGGGTACAAACATCCGAGATCATCAATATTCAGGTTGCGTCTTACATCGTCGTCGTTACAAGTTAAAAGCCTCTCTGCTTGGCAAGTACAGTGAATGACTGACTGGTTGAAGGTGGGAAGTGATCTTCCGCAAGTACGAATCATCATATGTATATGCACAAACACAAATGGTGGAGGAGTGAATGAACACTTGACGAATCGATTAATATTCAATGACATCACTTTGCATTTTGCTCTGTGTCGATTTGTTTGGAAAAAGGCGGTGCATAGTGATGGTGGATTGTGGAGAGTAAACCTTGCCCGCGGTCGGCACTTTGCTTCCGAAGGTGGATGCCCAGTGCGGGGGTTAGCGAGAGATGCTAACGGCAGTTTGAATGGATTTTAAAATTAGGTAGGAAAGTATTAAATTTTTTTAATTTTATTAGAATAATTTAATTTTGAAGAAAACAATTGAACAACTATAATTCTCCTTGTAATTCCCCATCGCTATTTATCGGCTGTTCTCCAACTAATTGAGTTGATTTTCTGTCGGTGATTAGTGTATGGTTGACATCCAACGTTATTCAGAACTTCAAATTTCTGATCTTAACATTTTA